AGATTTGAAATTGCGAAGTCATGCAAGGGAGCAACCTCTTTGTGCGTTAGAGTGACTGCATTTGTATTGTCAGGTGGCAGGAGATCGCATAATCTGGGAACAAAAAAAAATTCTCAACATTCACGTCCCCGAATAGTTGCCTCGTCCATCAGAGCGATAAGGTTGGCTACTTCGGGCCAAACATGTCGACACATCCCACATTTCATGTCATTTTGGCCAGTAGTAGTTAACTTTCCTCGCATCGCGTTCGGTGACCTGGAGAACATCTCATTCCCATAAGTGTTGCTCTATCTTCTGTTTATTATGCTTCGCAACGCTTTGGCAACTTGTGAAGCCGCTAAAGTGCAGTTGCCTTTTGTGACTGCAGCACATGCAGCAAGACGGTCCACCATCGACTCGCGAAATTGTCGAACAGTTCTTTCGTTCACCGTTGTAGTTTTGATAACTTCCAGTACGTCCTTCGCCCTCACATCCTTTGCCGCGGTTCTTCCGAGAAATTGTATTAGGGTGGTAGCGATGGAACACACATAAACACCACAGTCCGTCTGATTGTTCTGTTGCGGGCATTCTGCATACACAAGTTTACTTCCTGCCAGATCCCTGCATGTCACCCACGAAGAATGAACCTTTTCGGGGGTGAGACACTGCAAATTACAAGCCTCGTGAAGGTACTCGTGCCACAAAAGTTTTCGCAACGCCGTCCATTCTTCTCGCTTTTTTCCTCTCATTGAGTCAACGACGATAGCAATGGGAGGGTCGGATATGCGGCTGTCCGCAGTGACCTCCAGAAATACCTCACATTCAGCAACAGAAGAAGAGTCCAGTGTTTGTTACGGTTCACTGGTATCACAGTGACCGATGCGCGTCGCAGTTCGTTGCACAGTCGATACAACTTCTGTGGTCTGATCTTAATTGCGTCCTCCCATCCTTGTTTCCTCAACTGCCCAAAACTTTCATTGGCGACCACCTCGGGATGCCAGAAAGTTGTGCAAACGTGAACAGAAGACCTGTCCTGGCCCCGCCCAACCTCTTCATACACAGACTGCAAATAAATGTCAATAATATTGTCGTTCAACCATCCGTCGTCCGACAACCGTTCAACGTCGGATTTTGATGCGGGTATGGCGTGTTGCGGAGATTTCCATGTAAAAGGGAACAATTCGTTCACGTCAGTGATGTCCGTCTGCTCATCCCTCGCAGTGGTCATGTCCCCTGCTTTCCGTTTTCCCACACAACAGGAAGACTGTTCCCCGCTGAAATGGGGCCACTCCGATGCACCCTCAGTCAGTAAATCGTACATTTTCGCGCACCAAGGGTCTCATAACATGTCCTGCCAGCTCTGTGCCGACCTCCGGCTGCTCGTTGGCAACAACGGTTTTCTGTCCCTGTCATCATTACCCGTTTCAGTGCGCTGGTATGGCCCCTTCGCAGCAACGGAACAATTACTACTGTGCGACTCTGCCATCCTTGATCCCCTTGTCTTACCTGTGCCCTGTTACTCTGTGTTCCGTGTCGCTCCTCCTCCTTCGCCCCTCCCCGCATTGCGGCGTCGCAACTTTGTGTTCCTGATCACACGTGTAGGGAAAGCTCGAAGACACAGAGGATTAGTTGTGTTTTTTAGCAACGGCAAACTGTTTTCGTCGAGATGCTGTAATTGATTTTTTTTTTTTTTTTTTTCTCCCTTTGTACATAGGTGGGTACGAGAGAGTTCGTGAGAGAGAGAGAGAGACAGAGAGAGAGAGAGACAGAGACAGAGAGAGACAGAGAGAGAGAGAGAGAGAGAGAGAGAGAGAGAGAGAGAGAGAGAGAGAGAGAGAGAGAGAGAGAGAGAGAGAGAGAGA